CGAGGGTGAGTAATTAATGACAGAATTTTCATTTTTGGGTGAACTAACCTTTTAATCCTTCATTGGCTCATACCAGATAAAGACCTATATATATATATATATATATATATATAACAAAAAAAAATTCTGAAACAGCAGTGAAACTCTCACATCAATCTAGAAAACATATGGACGGCTGAAGCCATTCTACACGCAGCTGCCCTGCATGTTGCACTGGAATCCATAACACCGGGAAAAAAAATATGAAGTGCTGATTTCTAGAAAGCATCATGACAGGGTGATCGAAGTCTGAGAGGCTAACTTCCAACAGGAAAAAGGCCTGTTATTTAAAACCTTCAAACAGATGCACAGTCAGGAATTCTTGAGATGACACACAGGCCCTTATCAAAAACAGATATGAATCATTGAAGTGACGCATAAATACAGATGATCAGTATTTGCAGCTATATTCACAATTGTGTGCTAAAGTACTCATGGTTTTCGACACAAATTCTGATACATCTATTCATTATATACAAAACATTTTATGCTTAACACCCTAAACCCTGCTCATAAATCTGGGACCATTTAGAGGAGAAAATAATAAATATAGAAGCATAAATAAAGGAAATTATAAAAATGATAAAACAAAGCATAAACTAATAATTGTAAATAAATAACGTTCATAACATTTTAAATACATAACATTGTTTTTTTCTCAAATAACTAATGATTAATACGGACTAAAAAAGCAGAAATTATAACATTACAAAAATACAATTAAATTTAAATCCATACTGTAATTCTTTATCTGTGGTAAAAACAACAACAACGGCAGATGTCTATAGTAATGTATAGCATTAATTCTTAGCAATAAGCACCACAAAACAGACTCGTACCCAAAATAAAAATTGAAGATTAGTGGTCGACCAATATGGGTTTCCCAATGGTTCATCCTTAAATGATTACACATGGTCCCCTAAATTATGAATACGTGGTTACATCCTTGACCACGAAGCTGTGCATCTGTGACAACTTTCTTTGTAGGTCTGACTGTAAATGAGGGTACTACTTAGCAGAAACATGTACAGTACACTTATTACGGTTGCAGTCAAAGTGTGGACACAACAGTAACGGTCTTGGATTGAGGTTCGAACCTTCAGCCTTTCAGCAGCCATCTCAAATTTTTAAACCACTACACAAAAGAACTGGAACATGCACTAAACAAACAATGAATCCCAGGAGACAAAACTCACCGCGTTATCATGCTGCTGGCAGAAGTCCATCCTCTCCTGGAAAACATTCAGCATGGAGAAGCTGTTAAGGAAGGACTGGGAGATGTTGATCGGGGTGTTGGAGTTGTTGGTGCGGTTGGCCAGGTGTAAGCTCTCCAGAAGCCCCTCGATGAAGTGGTCTTTGGTGAGTCGGACCCTCTGGTGAGCCCTGACGCAGTTGTCGCACAGGTACTCCTGGCAGTCCAGGCAGTGGGAGGTAGCGGGGTTGCCCTCATCACAAGAGCTGCACTGAGGGTCTGAGAGGTGCTGGGGTCTCAGAAGACCACCGTGATGGACCACCGATGAAGACCGACCGTTCTTGCCCTGTTCCTCAGCAGAGACCACCACATCCAGCAGGTTGCTGAAAAGAAAGTTGGAGGAAGGCAACGCGTCCACGCCTGATTCCGTCAGAGACACTTTTTGGTCGCATGTGGGGCATCTGAGCTTCAGAGGGTCACCTGGGCTCCTGTGGCCCTCTAGGCATTGCCTGCAGAAGGCGTGGAGACAGGGCAGGACGTGCAGCCTCCTGGTGGATGAGGTAGATGAGGAGTTGGAGGTCTGGGAGGACGAGGAGGAGGTAGATGAATTGGAGGAGATCGGAGCAGAGCAGCCGCACAGCTCCTTGCACAGCGGACATGTTTGCAGGTCGGAGTCTGGGAAAGACGCCATTTGCGCAGAGGACCACAAAATAACTTCACACATAAAAACGCGTTAAGATACACAAAAGCTTCCGAAACGGTTCCCTGATCAACTCAAGCAAGTAATGCAGATCATAGACTTGGCATGCTGTACTGGGAGCTACATTCAACGATACTTGATATATACATTCCCGTTTAATGACTTTAGATTGAATTGGGCTTTCAGTTTTGGTTATTATCTTTAGAAATTCGCAGGACAAACTCTATACGCAACTTCTCGAGTGCACATTTGGACACCAAGTGTCATTTTGAGGCCTTATAATCCCTCGGTATGGGGCATTAACATTGTTGCGAAACATAGATCCGCTGCGAGGTCCCTGCTCCGATCCTCCCCCACCGCCGCATGACGAGAGGGGCCAAACACGCTCGATACGGTGTCAGTTTTTTCCTTCCCAAACGCAAATATGTCCGTTTTCCATGAACGCGCTTTAGTCTACCATCTGCGCGTCATTCTTCTCATTACGCGCTTTAATAATTCAAAGTATGTCCCATGTAGCTCGTTAGCACGCAGAGCCCCTCAAGATCCTGTTACTGTGGTGAGGCTGAAAAGCCCCTTGAACTTCCTTCAGTCCGGTTACAGTAACACTTTGGCGAGGGGTATAAGGTAACCATTCAACCTTTCGTGTCCATTCGTTCCCGAGCTTTCAGCTGCCCATGTTCGCAAAACAAACGCTCTCTCCGCGCGCCTCTTCAATCCGCACTCCTTTTCATCGGGAATGACGCTCGCGCGGACGACAATTCTACAGCGCGTGACCATCAAGCGAACGCGTCCATACTTAATAAGCCTAGAGCGCACGTCCTCCTGAGAACATTCCGGAGGGGCGTGGTTTATGTGGCGAGGGGGCGGGGTCGGGCAGGGTATTAAAAGTAGTACAAATTCAGCAAAGGCCAATTATTCATTTATTTTTTGTTTTATTTATTACTGGAAAGTACAATATGGTGCTCAATGAGACATTATAATATAATATTTAAGATAGTTTTTTTTTTTTCGTAATCAGAACATATTTCAGTTTGATGTGGATCCTTGTGTCTTTTGTTCTAGTCTTGTGTATCTGCGAATGTATAGGGGAAAATGCAGATCCTCTTCATATATTTGTATATAAAGATGTATATGACATGTATCAATAAACAACAGAAAGCACAAAGCTTTATGTTTTTACTGTCGAAATATCTTTATTCTATTGCAGTCATGTTTGTTATCCGATATGTCTTGCTCCTTGGCTTTAAAAATTGTTGGTTGTTTCTTCCCTAAACGCCTATTGACTGTTTGACTCTTGATATAACTAAATTAATATGGGTCAAATTTATCTGGTTAATCTTGAAGGCTTCATTGTATTTTATTTTATTTTTTTCATATTTAAATTATTATTTTATTATTATAATTAATTTGTATTATTCTTCTGTTTTTGTGTTTATTGATTGATTAGATGTGAAACAGAAATCACAATTCAATACTAGATCTGCCATTAAATTTAAATAAAGAATCATGATTAATCCCATGATTGTCCAGCTCCTTTTTGAAGAAAAATATACTTTATACTGATAACACTAAATGATATTGAGCATAACGTTCTTTAAAAGGAACACAAATCTGGCTTGGTGTCAATTATGGGATGATTGAGCATTATTGATGAGGCCGTGCGTGTATAAGACAAAAAGGTTGGTAAACATATTCTAGGACATGCAGGTCCCTTTGTATACCATTAGTTCTACCATTATGTCTCATTAATTCTCCCGCATCATCTTTTAACAGTATGCTCATTTCCCCCCACACCTGAACCTATGAAATCAATCTTAACCTTTTTGTAATCAATGAGGGCCCCTCCTGTAATAGATAGCTACCACGTGTAGGACTGGCCTTTGTGTGCATTTATGGGCACTTAGGATGGGGTGCTGGGGTGGCTCTTGTGACAAGGGAGGAAGCTTCTCGGTGGGGCTTAGGCTCCAGATGCAGGCTGCCCAATAAAGCAGTGGGATGCCAAGCTGAAAGACCCTTTGACCCCATTATTATGGCTGGGATTAGGGGTAGTGGAGGCTGCCCACACTCAGCTGCAGAGCTCTGGCCATCCCAAGGACATTCCATTGATCTACATGAGGAAAAAGCCGGAACGGGGGTTGGGTGCGGGCAGAGGCTCAGCAAAACCAAGCAAAGCAAGGAAGGGTCATGTCACATGGTGGAAATGACCACAGGCAATTATGTGTACACGTGAGTGTGGATCTGTATACATGATGAAGCGCTGAGTCTTTCTCGGGCCCAGGAAGTAGCTAGTCCTTTTAACTGTCACTCATAGTCAACATGTAATGAATGAGATTATTAAACTCCTATTAAACTAGCTTTGTGGGCAAAAGGGAATGTTCTTTTGTGGCTGTATTATTTGATTGTGACTAGTGCGATCCCAGCTATCAGGGAACGTCAGAACTTTGGCTAATGTTTTGCTAAGGTTCTCTCAAAGTCCTGAACAAGCATTCCCTTAAAATAGAACGTTTGTTCAAAGTTAGCTGGTCTTTAATAATGTTCTCAAACGTTAGCACAAAAGCATTATTTATACATCATTCATGGAACATTTCCCCCCTCCCCCTGAAACATTTTAGTTTAAATGTTACTACTTGCTTTCGAATACTCGAAGAACATTCAAAAGTAACTTTCTCATAATGTTTGCATAACCTAGCAAAAACATTTTAAAAATTACATTTATATCCACTTTCCCAACAAAGAGTCTTGCCCTGTCGTACCCCAGCTATCAGGGAACGTCAGAACTTTGGCTAATGTTTTGCTAAGGTTCTCTCAAAGTCCTGAACAAGCATTCCCTTAAAATAGAACGTTTGTTCAAAGTTAGCTGGTCTTTAATAATGTTCTCAAACGTTAGCACAAAAGCATTATTTATACATCATTCATGGAACATTTCCCCCCTCCCCCTGAAACATTTTAGTTTAAATGTTACTACTTGCTTTCGAATACTCGAAGAACATTCAAAAGTAACTTTCTCATAATGTTTGCATAACCTAGCAAAAACATTTTTAAAACATGAAAAAAAAAAATGGACCTAGAACATTGAGAAACAATGCTAATGGGAATGTTAGCAAAACATTCCTAGAACATATTTTTATTAGTTGGGATGTGGCCCAATGAAGCTTTCTGTATGTTATTGTCCATTTTTGATACACTTTATGAGCTTAAACCTCAACAATGCAATTGATAGATTGCTTATCAGCAGGGGTTTCCTGCAAGCCTGCCTTAATCACAGGATTACATTTATATCCACTTTCCCAACAAAGAGTCTTGCCCTGTCGTACCTTGTCGTATCACTGTTGTCCTGACTAAGTCTCTTGTTTAGCTTGTGAACGTCTTTAAGATAGCTTTCAATTTAATTGCTATGAGATACACACTGCTGAAAATACATGGAATGTTGGCAAAAATATATCATTGCATATATTAATCTATTTCGTTCATGCGACTTTTCCACTCATCTGCCATACTTATGACAATTTGTGGAACAAAGTAATGGCAGTGAATACAAAAACACAAACACCTTATAAAACAGATCTTATTAAGTCTAACATTCATTGACATTTTAGGCTCATTTTAGACAATCCATCTCTGTATAACTGAGAGTGTGCCAAAATTAATAATGCGGGTTAGGGCCACAATCCAGCAAGAATCTGTGCATTATTAATTTTGGCAGACTCTCAGTTATACAGAGATGGATTGTGGGTTAAATTTAAGTCCACTGATGTTACATTCAGGATCAATGCTAACTTGAGATCTGTTCAAATGTATTCTGGGACCTGGTATGGATCAAACCTAATGATCAGCATTTTTTCTTGGTGTATTTACTATGCCCCTTTGATGGTCATAAATATGGTGAATTATTAGAGAAAAAGTCATTGATTGGAACAGATGAATAGAGAAAACTACCGAATGTCTTTCACTCACTTACAGGTTGTAAACTAAGATATAAAGATGCAGTGAAGACTAAAGATGCAGTGAAGAAGTATGAAAGGGTTCTTAGTCAAATGTGGCATGGCACATGATGCAAAATGAATAAATAGTTATTTCACGTATTAATAGTTAGTATATCCAGAGCTGCTAATTGTGAAAGTTGACAAGATGAAATAGATTTATAGCAGTAGCATAGTCTTGGTTTGTGTTGGTTTGATTCTTTAGAGAAGATATTTGTGTTCTCTCCTTCTCTTTAAAGTTCCTCTCATATTCTAAGGGGATTTCTTAAAATCTACTAATGAAGGAAATTAAGGATGTCTGTCAGAGTTCCTGTGGCTGACCCATTTGTTACCCTTAGAAAATGATATGTGGTTGTATATGTAGATGTCAAACATAATCTTAAATGGCACATCTGCACAGTGTTATAAAGCCATAAAGCACATTAGGTATTGGGTTGGATACTAACGCAGCTTAGACATTTAATTACATATTTATTTTTCTTTTCCAAAACGGCTCATCATTCAAGTTTTATCTGAAAAAGACCATTTGTCGCACTCTAGTGAGATAAGAGTAAACAAAAACTATGATTATGCTCTCATGGCAACATTCACATCTTCAACATGACAAAACATGCTAACTGCATGTGTGATCAGTCTTATTTGTGTGAATGGATATCATTTTTCTGACTGTGGATCAGGAGGGCAAATAGGAACTTTTAGTTCATAGTGTAACCTAAATCATTCAATTTGAGATGCATGAACAAAACGGGGCCAAATGCAATTCGGCATAGAAACGCAGTTTAATAGCTATTGCCTTTATGTATGTAAGTATGTATTTATTTACACTATATAATTGATTGTTTGTTCGCAGCCCTAACAACAATGGTTGATCATAATAGATAGTCAAGTATTTTCAAGTAGTTTCATTCATAATGATAATTTATTATAGACTTCAGGCAGGGTTTTTGACTAAAATGAGAAGAAAAAAGAAAATCCTCCCTGCACACAGGGAAGCAAATACGTCTGACTCTCACAGGTAAAAGTGATGATTCACGTTCAGTCGTTCAGGGCTGAGATAATGCTCAAAAATGTGAGGGTGCCTGTAAGTTCAGCTTTGAGATGCATTACAGGACATCTGCGCTACCAGTCACAGTTTGCAATAATTGGGATTTAAAAAAAAATATTTTCGAGTCTCTTGTACTCACCAAAACTGCATTTATTTGATGAAAAATATGGCAAAAACTGTAATATAGTAAATTTTTTTTTTACAATTTTATATTTTAGTATATTTTATTCCAGCCGTTATACTCTAATCTGGGGCCAGTAATTTATTTATTTTTAAGAAATGAATACTTTTATTCAACAAGGATGCATTAAATTGATCAAAGGTGACAGTTACAGTAAAGATAAATTATTAATACTTAATCACCAATAGTAATTGATAATAAATCAGCATATTACAATTATTACAATAATTTCTGAAGAATCATGTGTTAATCATGTCTGGAGTAATGGCTTGATGAAAATGTACCTTTGCCATCACAGAATTAAATTACACTCTTTTCAATTGTAATAGTTTACTGTTTTTATTGCATCTTTTTTTTTATCAAATAAATACAGCTTTGGTGAGCATGAGACGTCAACCAAGAACATAATAAATAAATAAATAAAATATTCCAAACTTTTGAATGGTATTTACTGTATGCTACTCGTAGTATATGAACAACACAAAGGTTTTTAAAAGATAATTTTTACGTAAAAGTGATGATTCACGTTCAGTCGTTCAGGGCTGAGATAATGCTCAAAAATGTGAGGGTGCCTGTAAGTTCAGCTTTGAGATGCATTACAGGACATCTGCGCTACCAGTCACAGTTTGCAATAATTGGGATTTAAAAAAAAATATTTTCGAGTCTCTTGTACTCACCAAAACTGCATTTATTTGATGAAAAATATGGCAAAAACTGTAATATAGTAAATTTTTTTTTTACAATTTTA